TCTTATGTTAATAGTTCATACTTAGGATGGCAATGCGCAAGGAAAAAAATGTCATACGATAGGCATGAAGAAGGTAGGATGCATTAAATTAGGTATGGTTGAGTTGTATCAATCAAGTCTCAAATCCTGTCAAGGAAACATTTGATCAAAGCTACGTGAAAAATCAATGGGAATATAACAACACAATATTCGAACGATCATAAAATAGTGCAACTTCAATTGCTTTCAATAAACAACAAACATAATCGAATGCGACACATTTCCATTTTGACAAAGGACGGTCATGAAACTGGTTGGAATACTCTCGTATAGGATTAACTGAAAAATAATTTCGTATGCTTATTTTCTACTAGTGATTTGAATACCTTTCAATAGTTCAGACCATTCTTAAATAGCATCTTAGGTTCATAAGTTGAATTACTATTTTTTTTCTATCGTTATCACATAGTAGATTTGAGAAATCAGATATGAGTAGGCTTACCTATATCAATAATACTCATTCTGAAATCCCCTTTTAAAAATGCATAACATGACACATATATGTTGTTGATGTAAAACATATCGCACATTGCTTACATATCAAAGTTTTTTTTTTTTTTTCAGGGGTATCCCAATTATTATAAAATCACTGTATATGGGGTAAATTTTTTGTTTTGTTACCAATCATTATGGTACCGATTCAAGGTAAATAAATTTACATATATTAATATAAAAATTGATATTAGGATAAAGTTTATCAAACAAATAATTATTTAAAACCCTATTTGCTCAACTAAATATGATTTGCGTCATATTACAACTCTTCTAAAAAAGTGTGAATATGCGGTAAAGCGTTTGACTACACAAAAATATACCTTAACCAAAATCATGCCACCACATCTTTACCTAACAAATTTATGACCATGAAATGATGCTCATGGTCATGGTTGCATGTGTATTAATGAAGTTGTTTGTAACTAACTTTATATACTTTTTTATTTATTTCTTACATTACTTTTTTTTTTTATTTAAGTTTGTTTCTTATCACTCTATTTTTTTCTTATATACAATATATTGATTTGTTTTGCTTGGTTAAATTCAATTTGGTTTTATGTTATTTGGCTTGCCTTGTATGGGTTAGTTTTTGGGTGAGTTGGGTTTTGATTTTGTTTACTTTTGTATAGTTTCGTCTTATCATGTTTAGTTTGTTTTTGTTTTGTTGTGACCGATTGCCTTATTTTGTTTTCGTAAGTGTTTTATATGTATTGAGTTTTGCTGCTTTGCTTTGGTTTGTTCTTTTCTTTTTAATATTTCATCTTGTCTTACCATTTTACCCTCTTTGCTTTGCTTTTCCTTTATTGCCTTAATTATGTTTGGTTTGGAGTTTTGGACAAGTTTTTTTTGCATAGATAGGTTTTGGGCAAATTGGCTTTGTTTTTTTTTTTGTTTTTTTTTACCTTTGTTTCGTTTCATTGGCCTGTTACGTTTTATTCTTTTTTTTATCGTCAATTTTGTTACTCTTTGGCATTTTATTCCGATTTGGTTTTGCTTGAGGTTCTTACCTTTTTTTGGGGGGGGAGCCGGGAGGGGGGGGGGTATCATTTTGTTCTCTTTTTTCTTGTGCTTAGTTTTGATTTGTCTTTTTTTTTTTTTAAAACTACACTACGTTCTTCTCTCAATTTCTTTTTGCCTTTCACTACCTTCCTTCCACTACTCCCAAGACTATACAGAGGGGACCCCTGCAAGCATAGGGCCTCGCAAACAAGTTAAATCATGTTGCTCCCTGCCCAACAGCTGTAGTCAGAGATGGGGTGGGGCTGCCGGTGGGGGCCCAACGCAAAGTCCGAGCATTTTGCCAGTAGCTGCACCTCCCTTTCTGTGTGTATGGTTTTTTTTTTTTGTGCCATTTCTTCGTTAACTTCGCTCTTTGGTTGGGTTTGGTTCCAATTTGTTTACCTGAGTGGACAAGGCAGAAGGGGGATGCTGACTATGCACCCCAGTTGGGACACTATATCCTCCAGGAGAGTGAAGCTTCACATGTTGTGCTAAATCTATGCTTGACCTTGCTTTGGTTTTGTTTCCCTTTGGCTTCGTTTGTTTGTTGAGGAACCCAACCATGTTGGAAAGGGACAAAAGTAGCCCATTCAGAATATAGGTGGGCACTCCTTTTTTTTTTTTTTTTTTTTTTTTTTTGTTTGGAAAAAACATCCCGAACCG